AATATATAATATATAAAGATTTACTTTATAGTACATATATATGAGAGGTTTACTTTGTACTAGATATAGATGTAACTTTATATAACTTTTATATATAACTTTATATATATAAGTTATCTCTATATTAATATAGATAATATTATTTTAATATTTTATATATTTGTATTTAATGTCCAGGTAGTTTAGAGAGCCCATGATAGCTGCTTGGCCAGCAGCTGTTCAGTAATGAGTATTTACACCTCCAGAAAACTAAACAACCACCTCTAAAAATAAGAAATACATATATATATATATATATATGCACACACACACTTAAAGCCTTTTTTATATTACCCTACTCTGTGGGTCAGAATTATTATTCTGACTATTCTGAATTTGGGATTATTCTGAACTTGGGAACTTGGCCTCTAACTTTTAGTTCTTTACATTGAAATGTGAGCAGATGGGTAACAAATCTGTAGGTGCAGACACCTGTACTGCTCAGCAATGCTGAATCTCAGGAAACACAATAAATATTGAAGGTTTCTGTGCAGGTGATGAACTCTCCTTATCCTCCATTCACACCTTGTTGTGTTTTGAGCACCAGGAAGTGTGTTATTGCAATATCACATATCTGCAATCTGTCCTCGACAAAATGAAGCTCAGGACAGGACAGAATGTGCATCAGATCAAGCAGCACAGGGCAGGAATGATCCCAGGTGTTGTTGTTTTGCAGAGACACCTTATCCAAATCTGTCACCGTGCAGGATCACAACCAGTTCTTCCATGCCCATTAAACTCGCAGGGTTTGGTTCTGGTTTGCAATACATCCAATGGAGAAGCTGCCAGGACTGAGCACTGCTCTCACACGTATCAATTAAGCTCCAAGGCAGGCAGGATGTAATTAGCCCATCAATCTCGGAATCAGCATTGGGAGACAAACAAGCTTTAATGGGCAGACAGTGAAAAACGACACAGCTACACCCATGGGTGCAAACCCATCCCTGCCTTAACTGGGGAACCCATCTGGTGCCAGGCAGGAGGAGCTGAGCTCGCTGTCTCCTGCAGGGGAAGCCACCCTGCTCACAGCCAGTGTGACCCAGTTACCCAACTGGGCTGATCCCTGCTCCAGTTCTGCTCACAGCCAGGGTGACCAGGGCACCAACTGGGCTGATCCCTGCTCCCCTGCAGCACTGGGGCCACTGCTGGTGGATCTGTGCTGGCCCAGAGCAGTCCCTGCAGCAGCAGCAGCAGCACACACGTGGCAGGACAGGACTGGGAGTGCTCTGGGGCAGGAATTCATCTGCTCCTGCTGCTGTCTCAGGGCCTCCAGCTGCCTCCAAAGCACCGGTAGAGAACGGATTTGAGCTGGGAACTGCCCCAAATTCTTCCCCAGCTCAGAGAGCTGAGCTGGGCTGGGCACCCCAGGGTTACTCACCCTCTGTGAATGGTTGGAGGCTGTGCTGACCATGCTGTCACAGCTGCCAGAGTTGCAGCCAGCCATCCCCAGCTCCTTCCTAGGCATAGCACGGGCTGCCCTGGAGGCTGGCACGGGGGGAACGTCCCAGCTGGAGAAGGAGAAAGGAGAAGCATTAAGTTGTGAGTTTCCCCCTGGGGTGACACGAGCACACTGGGAGGGAGGACAGGCAGGATTTGGTGCTGCTGGATGGAGGAATTGTGCCCCATCTTAGGCTGCTGTCTCCAGGAGAAGGCACAGCTGGGCTTTGAAAAATCAACCTTGAAGTTTTCCCCAAAATAACTGGAAGCAAGGTCACCCCTTGCACAGGCAGCTGGTGTTGGTGGCTCTCTGATCACCTCACAGGGGTGGATAAGGCACAAGAAAAAGCTGTGAGCCCAGCTCAGCCCCAGAGAGGCTCAGAAATCCCAGCCCTGACTCATGGGACCTCTTTCCTCTGCCACACCCTGTGCCAGCCCTGCAGCTTGAACTTGGGAACGTGCTGGCCCAAAATGCTGCTGGTTACTCACATCCTCGCTCTGTCAGGAGCTTCCTCCTGGCAAGGAGCAGCCTCTGCCACCCTTCCTTGGGGGCCCTGGGGAGGTGTCCCCGGGGAGGTGTCCCCAGGGAGGTGTCCCCAGCCCTTTGGGGCACAGCCTGGGTGTGTTTGGGCGCAGCCTGTGGGGAGCAGGGCAGGCTGGGGCTGTGCCCAGGGGGGTTCAAGCAGCACCCCAATGTCCCCTCTGCCCACAGCAGTGTCCCCCTGGTGCAGCCCACACCTCCCATCAGCAGTGGGACCCCAGTGTGGCAGCAGCTGCCTGACAAACCCCCTGGGTTTGGGTTTCCAGCACTGGCACAGGGGCAGGGTGGCACAGGGGACACAGAGCTCTGCTGAGCACCCACAGAAAGGGTCATCACTGATGGATGCAAAGCTCCCAACATTTCCTGGCACCACCAGTTATTCTCCTGCACTTGCACCACCCTGATCTTGGGGAGGGAACTGTGGGGGTGAGAGGGAGCAGCAAAACAAACACCAACACCCCCTCCAAGACTCAGGGACCCACACGAGAGGATTTGCTCCTCAGGAGACAGAGGAGCCCTTTGTGCTGTGACCTGCAGGCAGGAACACACTGCTGCTGGTTTTTTTTTTTCTTGTAGCAGGATCAGGGAATTAGATCCAGCGATAAGTGAGCAGAACTGGCTGCTTGTTCAGAGCGTTAGACCCTGAAAGAATTCCTTTGTAATTGGAATATGCCGCAAAAATCAGATTTCAACACCCACGCCCTGACAGATCTAATCCTTCCATGCGGGAGGAGTTTAATATTTCAGTCTCAGCTTTGCATTATTTACTGCTTAAGTGACGCTGCAGTAAGTGGTGGCTTTGGAACAGCAGTTCCCTGGATTCTTTGAATTCAGATCTGTTCATAGCCAGGGATTTGAGCTGTGGGGAAGCAGAGCTGAGCTTGGGGGACCTTAGGCCTCTGCAGGGTTTTACTGTGCACTGGAACACCCAGAATATGAAATTTAGATTTATATCAAAACTAGAGATATAGATTTATAGATTTTCATCAACTCCTAAGTAGCAAGAGGCTTGACCATGGTTGTTTCAAATTTCAGGCAGCAAAACCCTCCTGGGGAAGTGAAAGCCTTGCTGGAACTTGAGTGTGCAGGGAGACACACTCAAGGGAGGCATTTTCTCCATGAGGATCCCCCTCCCAACACCAGTCCATTAAAGAAATCATTTTCTCTCATTCAAGCAGCATTTGCAGGGACCTCAAGGAGCTGCCAAGGCTTTGGCACCCACCGAGCCCCAGCTCATGGGAGACAAAGTTCAGCCCGAGCCCGCCAGGCACTGAGGAGGATCTGCACTGAAAAAAGAAGTTCCTTTTCCTGCCTATTTGTTCTCTGATGTGATTACAGCTCCAGTATACTCATCCAGCTCGGGAAAGGGAAAAAAAATCAGTTTTGAAACCCCCAGTTTTAATGATTCAGAAAGATTTTAGTTCCTTCTTTGTGGTGAGTTACAGCCACAAACTAAAAACGTGACTGAGCGTTGGATTTAATGGTACTCGAAAAGCTGCTTTATAGCTGGGTTTCAATGGTGCAGCTCTCTTCCCCAACTAAAAACATATTTGGAAGAAGTTATTTTTTATCCAAACCCAAAGGCCAGGTCCCTCAGCTCCTGTGGCCGTTGCCATAACTGTCCTTTAAAACCCCATAGAGCCATCAAAGAGGTGCCGGGTAGCAATTAATGCTAATTGCTTTAGAGAAGAGGCGACTTTCTTTCAGCCAGCACCACTCCAAGCTCTTCATCCCGGGTTAAAGAGCTCGGTTTTGTATGGAAAGGGCTTTGTCCTGGCCAGCCCCAAACACAGCCCAAAGCAAATCCCCCTTTGCAGGCACCATCCAGGGGGATGGATCCCAGCTCAGGGAGGAAGGGGTCGGGGGCAAATCTGAATTTCCTCCTATCCCAGCAGGTAAATGAAGCACCCAGCAGCTTTCTGAGCTGTTGGCCCCAGCACAGGTTTCCCCAGCTTTCCCACCACCACCACCACCACCTTCAAACCACGTCATCCAGCTCTGCTGGTGAATCCCCCACCACATTTCACCCTTCCAAAGCAGAGCCCTGCAGGCACCCAGAGCCCCCCAGCAGAAAAAGCACAGGGAGAAAAGGACAAGCAGGAACAGAAATTATTATTAATCAGTTTTGTTGTTTTACCAGGCTGTCCGTCGTTCCGTGCTGCCCAATTCCTCGTCCCGGCCGTGCCTATCCCAGGACTTCTTTGCTTTTCTGGGCTAACCAAACACAGCCGGGTTACACATTAACCGCGCTGCAGATAAGGCTGCGCTGCCCAGGTGGGTGCTCAGGTATGTCCTGACAGGTGATCGCTGGCCCCTCTACCTGCAACCAGGGCGAGTGCAGCTCATCCTGCAGCCCTGCCAGGACCTTCCCTGCTGCTTCAGGGGTGGCTGAGCCCCCCCAAAACCCTCAAACCGAGCGGCTGCGGCGCTGGGTGTGAGCTGGCAGTGCCCGGCAGCTCCGCTCGGTACCACCCAGCTCCTTCACTTCGCTGCTGTCCCCTGCTGTCCTGGGCACGGCTTTGGCCGGGGACTCCTTAATCCGACATCCTGTTCTGCCGCATAGCTGCTGGCTGACAGCGGAGCAGCGAGCTCAGCCCTGACCCCAGCCTCGCACACAATAATTACGTCCCAGGCTGGGCGTTCGCAGCCGGCAGCGTCACCCACAGCGGGTTTGTGCTCCCAGGTGCTTTGTGCAGGGATGCCACAGCTCGGGCTGGGAGCTGCTTCCTGCTCGCCTCTGAAAACAGCCCGAGCTGGGGCAGGTTGGTACTTGAATTTCACCGCAGCTTCCCAGAGGCCAAAAGTTTGCTGCCTGCAAAGGAAGGAGGTTGTTAAAGACAGGCAGGAAGGGGTTTGGAACTCGAGCATAGATTTATTTAGGTGCTGCAGGATGGGGTGCCGAGGTCTGTGCAGCTCCAAATCTGCCTGTCCCGACCTGCAGCTGTTTTTGCCCCACTTGGCACCGTTCCCTGTGGGCACCACAACCCTCTGCACGCTCCTTCCCAGTGCTGGGGACTCCTTCCCCAGGCAGTTCCTGGAGCTCCGGTGGAAACTGAAGCCCCCCAAGATGCCCATCAGACTCTGGCAGCTTCTCAGAAGCTCTGCTGGGGCATTTCTGCAGCAGCATCTCCTGCTCTGAGCCGTGGGTGCCACCTCTGCTGCCTCCTGAGAGGGGCCCAGGTGTCCCCACCCTGTGCAGGGTGACATCGACCCCAGCCCGGGTGGTGCTGCAGGGGCAGGCAGAGAACAGCAGAGCCTTCTTCTCACTCTGAATTTGGGCTCTGATATTAAAACCAGAGCTTTTCCTGCTGCTAAACAATGCTCTGGCCATTCCCCACACACAGCATGGACTTGTACCTGCTTGACAAGGTGCTGCTCACTTCAAATCTACAAACACCCTGCAGGAAATTTCCAGGGCTGACACAGCTGCCGGATTCTTTCACATTTCAACGCTCCAATGATTTTTTTTTTTTCTTTAATTTGTATTTTTAGCAAAAGGCTGTGTTGCCACACATATTCCCTGCTCCACAGAAGAGGGAAGTGGAAACATCAGCTAATTAAAGCCACGGGAAGATGGAGAGGGAGCAGATGAAGCAGAGGCTCCCACTGGCAATGCTGAGCACAGCCAAGCGCTGTTCTAGAAGGGAACATGTGCTGGAGAGCAAATCAACAAAGCAGAGGCTGCTGGCAGCCCCGGGCAGCCCCAGCCCCTCCTGCTCTTCCAGGCTGGCCTGGAGCACCGAGGGATGGGGATGCAGCACATCGGGAGCTGCTGGAGAATTGTGACAATGGGGATTGAGGGCAGGATTGGTGCCAGCGCTTCAGGAGTTGTGCTGGATGGCACAGCATCAACAGAGTTTGAATGTGATATCAGTTAATGAGGTGGGGTTTGATTTTGAATTAATTAAGAATTTTAAGTGGAAGCTTTTGAGCTGTGTGGGTTTTGTCGGGTTGTGCTGAGGCTGCTCTGAGAGAGGGAGGAAATCAAAGCTGGGATTATTTTGTTCTTGCACTGCCAGCAGGGTGTGAGTGAGCACGGGGCAGGGGTGTCCTGACAGCAGCAGGACTCCAACCTGGGCAGTCAAACAGGCAGAGCTGGCTGCCTGCAGCCTGTGTGGGGCAGGAAAGTGTCACCATCCATTAGGAGAAATCTCGAGCTCCTGTGAATCAGGAGCCCAGAAAGAACCTGTTCTTTTTTTCACATTCTTCTCCCTCCAACAAATATAAATAGCTCCAACCCAAAATAAGGTGTGATTTCACAGAGATGGCATGAAGGATATGTGAGGAGTCAAATGATGCAGAGAAAACTTCCCAGTGCCCTGGAAGGACTTTGGCAGCTTCACAGCCCTGCTGAGCCTCACCCTGTTCCTAAACACGAGGGCACAAGTGACTCAGGCCTGGCCCTAAAGGAAAAGCATCCACACGGCGTCACTGATAAGATTCCTGTCAAGGTAAGGATATTTATTTGACTCTGTGGGACTTTTGGGCACTTTCCTTTGCCCAAATTGCAGGCACAGGCTGCGTGCTGACAAATCAGATATGGAAAATAGCACGTAGTTAAAGCCTCCTGTTAGCAGTACTCATTAAACCTCCCTATGGCCAAGGAGCTCTATTTATTATCTCTGTTTTGCAGAAAAGAGCCAGAGAAGGGAGGTGAGGTGCTCCCACAGCTTGCTTGCCATTAACACCACAAGTGAGGAGGCAGCTCTCAAGCTTTAATAGTTCCCCAACATTTTCTTCAAGACTTTAATTAAAAATAATAGACAAGGGCGCTGTGATCTTGGACAACCTGATTTTGTTAATTCCTCCATTGTATTCCTGTTTCAGGGAGCATTTGGTGCTCAGACAGCTGAAACAGCAGGAGTGATTTCACCCAGTTTGAATGAATTTTATTTGGAGCAAACCTGACGGCAGTTTTAGAGCTGGATGCAAAGTTTGATTTAAAATGCAAGCAGACATTTAATTGCATGGCAGCTGCAATTTTCCAAACAGCAAGCTGACAACTTTTAGTTCCTCTTCTGAAGAGTTTCCTTGGCAGGGAGAGGCTCCCAGGGCTGGCCCATGGGTGGGTTCTGCAGTGAAATCAGCCAAACACAGATGATTCAGCACTCGTGTGTGTCAGTGTGATTGCTCAGAAACTCCCCCAGCTCCAGGCAGGCAGCAGAGAACTGCTCTGTCCTCATTCAGCCCGAAGGGGAGAAGGGCAAACACAACACTGGGGGGTGCAGAGAGGTTTTGGTTGCCCAGTTCCAGAGCTGGGATGTGCTCCAGGTCTCCAGGATGGCTACAGGATCCTGTCCCCAAACTGTCCCAGTGGCCCTGCTGGGACTGTGCTCAGGGAAAGGTTTGGGATGTACCCGGGAACACGATGTTCCTTTTCTCAGTGCTCTCCCCAGAAACTGCTCCTTTGATAGGAGCTCACTCACAACTGCAGAATTAGGTTTGTCCTTTAGAAATTCCAGTTATTACTGATTTTCTCCCCAGACTCTTTAAGTCTGTTGCATCCACGGAGGTGTAATACTGTAGACTAATATTTGTGAAGTCTACTTAATAATTTATGTATTTCAATGCTTAAAAGATTCTGGAGGGATGTAAAACTCTCTTTACAGCTGAGTCCTGATATTTCAGGTATTATATTTCATAGAATCCCGGAGTGGTTTGGCTTGGAAAAGACCCTGAAGCTCATCTCATCCCATTCTGATATTCAGAGTTCATCCCACCACTACAAGGATGCCATTTCTGGGATAATTCCCTGACTGTGTCATTAAGGGCAGGTAAATCCTAGTGAAAAAGTACTAAAAAACACCCTAATAATAATTTTTTGAAAAGAAAAGGAGTTGTACTTTAAATCTATCCGAACTTTACATGTTAAAGAATGGAGATAGTTTTTGTTTGGTAAAGTTTAGGAGAATAAAGAGAAGTTTTTCTTGCAGTCAGTACTTTGTCAGCCTGTAACAATATCAACTTTTACAACCACAAATTACAGGTATTTTTTTTTTTTTTTAACCAAAGAGATTTTATTTTGTAGGCAACAAAAGAAAACATCCAAGCAGTGATAGTGACACGTCTCCCTCCAATGGAACTGATTCTCTGTCAGCAGATTCCCAATGCAAACATGATCTAGCAAAGCTCAACACTCTGGATTAAATAAAACTCATTTTTTTCAAATACTGCAACTGAGAAATACCCAGAAAAATTAAAAATGCTTTACACACTTGGAGAAATCCATCCAGGACACGAAGCTAAAATCTAAGGGTTGCTCCCCAAAGTCAAGGCAGAAAATAAATATGGATCTTCCACTTGTGTTTCACACACCCAAAGACATGTGGTGCACCTCTCTGAGGTAGGTATTGTGTCCATGTGGCAGATGGCAAAGGGGAGGAGCAGCTCCTGGGCCCAGGCACTCCCCTGGGAGAGCTGAGAGCACACCTGGGGCTTGCCAGTCTCTTGTTCCTAGCCAGTATTTCAGCTCAAGTAGTTATAACACAGTGTAATCTTCAGTTCCTTTGAACTGTCAGGTATTTCTGGAGGTTTTTAAGCATCAGCTTCTACAGGGCTGGGTTTAATGTTGGGTTCTGGGGGGTTTTTTATCTTCTTTTCCTAATGACAGGCTAAAAGCAGAGCAGGGTTTAACACTGGAAGCTAAGTGGCTTTCTATAGGGAACTCCCAACAGTGCTAATGTGTTTTAATACTGAACTAAAAACAAACCTGGTCCATAGTGCTCTGGGTGAGTCTAGGCTGTTTAATTATTCATGTCTTAATTCAGCAAAGCACTTATGTAATTATGTTCTTTCTTCAGTAAACCCCTCCTGTATTTCATGATCCAACTGGGAGCTTCTGCTGAGAACTTGGAATAGGATTTTTGCAGAAAAGGTGTTGTTGCTGCACCAGTTTGGTCAGGTGCCTGAGGGAACAGAGACCTTTCAAATTGGGTTTTAGGTTCCACGTGGAAAGTGGGTTTATTTCTTCCTCAGTCTGAAGATGCACGTTCTTGTTCCCCAGTCTAAAAGTGCAAGGAAGGTCACTCCAAACATTAACAGAAGAATGGCAGGCAAAGGCTATTTTAAAATTCAAGAAACAAGGATGTGTTGCAGGCATTTCAAAGAACAACAACAACAAAAAAAACAACATAAATCCCCTTCAGTAATATGCACCTTTACAGCACCTTTGAAAAGCCCTCAAAAGCACTTGCTGTTAAGCTTCACAACCCCACTGTGAGGTAAGATATTCCAATTAAAATAATTTCACCTTCCCTGATTCTGAACAGTCCAAGGAGTGGGGTACTTTTCCCAGCTTATTTTGTTCTGAATATTCAGCTGCACCCTTCATTATCACAATGAAAGTCTGGCTACTCCAGAGTCAGCAGTGACAAATCAAACACATTAAGGCAGAAAGCAGATGGAATTTCAAGCCTCCCTTCTGGCTCTGGCCTTCAGAGGGCAAAACTTTTTACCAGCAAAGAGTGAGAACTCAACCTTAAAGTGCTCATTTACAGTATTTGGAAACTGGAACAGCTTAATAACACCATGGCCGTGATTGGCTCTACTCAAGTAAAATATTCAATGTATTTAACAGATGCAAATTAAGTCACTTCCCTAACTACTCACTTCCCTCTTGCAGGAATTTCCAATGCTATTATGAAGAAGAATCCCAAGTATTCCAGGAAACATGCTTATGCTCTGATGCAGTGTAAACACCAGGAGGTTGAGAGTTATTTTTCAAGCAACTAAAAACTACCTACGGAGGATTAATAAGTTTTATTCAACACTTATCCATCTACTCATTAATTTAAAGGCTACCTTAAAGCTTAGAGGCCATTGCTTTCCCTAAAGTTCTCTGCACACAAACTACACAGTCTATTGCTGATGGTATAGGGCAGCTCAAAGACACTCTTTCCACTACAAAGTGTATTTTGATATTGGACTTGATATTTTCATTACAAATCATGCACCACACGAGCAGTTTCGGTATTTCCATTACAAATCATGCACCACACGAGCAGTTTCCCCTCTGAGAGCTGCTCGTGTGTGCAGAGCTTAATTCTTAGTGTAAATGATGCTGATATGTGTGTTTCCCAAAGCCTCGGATTAATTGAATTATCCTGAAAATGTACATTCAGCACCTCAGGGGTGGATTTTACACCAGTGTTGGACAAGCCTGGCTGTGTCTGTCTGCTCAGATCACACACACACTCACACACACAGAAGGTGAAGAAATCAAGGTGTGGCTGCCACTGTCCACCACCAGCCCAAGTGCCATCCCTACTCCCAATCCCCTATTCCCAAACCTGTGCGTTGGCCACCATTAAGTTCATTCGCTTTTCAAGCTCTGTGAACGGAATTTTATGATTACAAACAGCTTATCTGGGGACTCCAGAATTGAATTCCGGAGCGGTGAGGTAGTCGATGGCACCCTCCTCGTGCTGAGCTCACACCTCCCCGAAGTTGGTGTGTCCAGTCTCCTTGGCGTGCTCCCTGGCCTCCAGCTGCCCCGTCAGTCCCTTCTGGCACACCATGCAGCGCAGGGCGAAGCGATTCACGTCCGTGAACTGCCTCTTCCTGCGAGCCTCGTCCGCCAGCTCCAGAGCTTGTGCCAGCACCACGTCATCGCTGCTGGGGAAAATGGTCTGGGGGGGAATGTCCGAGCCGGGCACTCGCCGTTCCAGGGGGTCGTAGTGGATGCCGTCGTAGATGAGCAGCACGCGCTTGCTGTAGCCGGCGTCCTCGCCGAAGCGGTCGATGCGCACGGTCTGCGTGTCCACCACGCAGATCTCGCACTGGTAGAACTTGGACAGGATGGACACCTCGATGGCTCCTCCCCAGCTCTCCTCCCTGCGGATCCAGTCACAGTATTCCCTGTTGGTTTTGCCCAGCACGGCCTCGCAGTAGGACTCGGGGTCGCTGGCCACGATCTGCGCGATGAGGTTGCGCATCTCGGGGGCGCAGCCGGGGTCGTACACGCCGCCCTCCACCACGTAGGACACGCTGGTGAACAGGCAGGAATTGTCTGCTGGCACCACCCTCCTGGCCAGCACAGGCACGGCTTCCCTGACAGGATGGGACATTGCTTTTTTGGCGACCACGGGCGAATCAGGCTCGGGTTTGGATGTGTCCTCTTCCACTATGAGAGTGTCACCTGCCAGACGGGAGGAGGGACAGATCAGAGGGAGATAAAGGGGGGACTTCAAGCTGCTGCTGCTCCTCAAACACAACAACACGGCTGTGCTGTCATTGCTGAGGATCACAGAAGAGAATCATGGAATCATGGAATGGTCTGGGGTCTCAAACACCACCCAGTCCCACTCCTGCCAAGGGCAGGGACACCTTCCACGAGCCCAGGCTGCTCCAAGTCCAACCTCGGACAGCTCCGCCCGTTTCCCGCAGCTCGGGATCCTGCTGGGAAACAGCCTCAGCAACAGCCGGTGGCACCACAACGGTCCCCGCGGGACTCACCTGGCGTGGCCCGGTCCCTGTCCCCTCCAGCCCCGCGCGCTTCTCCCTCCGGACCCCCGGGACGCAGCCAAAGCACCACCGGCACTCCCAGCGAGCAGGAAGCGCCGCCGAGCCGGGTGCTGACACCTCCCCCGGGAGCAGGAACCGGCCCGACGGCCGGTTGATGAGGGGCGTGTGTGCCACGGCCTCTTTAATTAACGTAATTACGGCCGGCAGGGCAGCAGAGCCTATAAAGCGCCGCCCCCGCCCTCCACCCCGCGGGGCTCTCACCAGAGTGGATGCCGAGCTCGCCGAGTCGCCGCTCGCCGTCGCTGAGGTCGAGGCTGCGCGGCGGGAAGCCGTGCAGGACGCGCTGCGCGGGCGCGGGCACTCCGGTGAGCGCGGCGAGCGCGGCCTGCATGTCGCGGAGGCGGGAGTGCGGCGACAGCCCCGGCAGCGCGTGCGAGCCGCTCCGGGCCTTGCAGCGCAGCCGCAGCATCCTGGGGCCGCCGCCGCACCGGCCGCCGCCGCTTCCGCTTCCGGCCCGCCCCCGTTCCGCTCTCGCGAGAGTACGCCGCGTCCCGCCCCCAGCGGGTGGCCAATCACAGCGCCCGTTATTTGCATAGAGCCGGGTATTGCGCGCTTGCCGTTGGTAGAACCCGCCGGAAGTGTCATTTGCATAAAGGGCGTGACGCACCCCCCCCTTTAAATTGCATTCACCTGGACACCGCCTGCCATCTCATTTGCATAATGCCAGGTGTCCCCGTGAGTTCCTGTCCCCTCCCTTCCCCCGGTGATTCCCTCCCATCTGATTTGCATATCCCGCCTTAATTTGCATAGAGGCGCGAGCTCCGCCCCCCAATTCCGTCACCGTCCGACCTCATTGGCATCTCGCCCCACCCCCCGCCCTCCCGGCCTCATTTACATACAGCGCGCGCCCCCGTGCCCTCCCGGCCTCATTTGCATACAGCGCGCGCCCCCGCGCGCGTGACGCGGGCCCGTTTTCCCGCCCCACCGCGCACCTTTTCCCGCGTGTGCGCTCCCCGGGACCCGCTTTCCGTCCTCGCTCCGCCGTGTGCGGGTTGCTCCGGTCATTTGCATGTGATTTGCATGCGGCGGGGCGCGGAGAGCGGTGCGGAGCCATGTCGGCGGCGCCGCGGGGCTGCTCCGGGGCCCCGCGGGGCAGGGCAGGCGAGAAGCAGTGCTGTGAGTAACCCCGGCCCCGGCGGGAGGATGCGCGTTCGGTGTGCTTAAAGAAATGAAATAAATAGCGGGAGGGGGATGAGGCTGCGCGCGTTTGCCCCGAACCTCGCATCCCCGTCCTGCTGCCCGTCCTGGCTGTCCCCTCCTGCCCGTACCGTGTCCCGCTCCCCCCCGACCTCCCGGGTGCTGCATCCATCCCCATCCCGTGCTTTTCCCCCCGGATCTGCCTCTCCACGGGCGCTTTCGGGGCTTTCTCGGGCTGTTTGCTGAGAGAACGTGACCGTTTTGTTAAAAGCATCTTTGGTTCGCCCTTGGCGGCTCCTGGCCGGGCGGTAAATGCTTTTAACACTAAAAGCCCCATTAGGCAGCGGTGCTGCCGCTCCGGCTCTTTCGCAAACACCTTGGAGACCACGGAGTGGTCACAGCAGCTCATGAACGGCAGGGACACAACGCGAGCCCGTCCTGGGATGCACGGAGGTGTTTTATCCACCGGCACATGGGATGACGCTGGGCTGGGTCTCACTTTATGCTCTGCAGCGCCGCTGAGCTGTTTTGGGGTGGGTTTTTTTTTTTTATTATTTTTGCAGCATGGGCTTCCTACATGACCAACTCCCCGACGCTGATCGTGATGATCGGGCTGCCTGCGCGGGGCAAGACTTACATGTCCAAAAAGCTCACCCGCTACCTCAACTGGATCGGGGTGCCCACCAAAGGTGTGTGTGTGTGTGTGGGGACATCCCTGCCCCGTGCTGTGACACCTGCCAGTGAAATGCCCTCACATTCTCCTCTCCTGTGTGTGAAGTGTTTAATTTAGGGGTGTATCGGCGCAAGGCGGTGAAGTCCTACAAGTCCTACGACTTCTTCAGGCACGACAACAAAGAGGCCATGGAAATCCGCAAGTGAGTCCCTGTGACGGCCCGTGGAGGGCTGGGGGCACTGAAGTCTTGGCAGGCTGCGTGTCTGAGGAGCAGAAAAGAACCCTGAGTGCCTGGGGAAGGGAGAAGGAACAGCACATTCTGTGCAGGGATCCTGCCAGGGATGGGCGTGGGAGTCTGGGGCTGGCACAAAGCTCAGGGGCAGGTCACAGGTGGGGGTGCCCCAGGATTTCTGGGGCTCTTAGGAGGCTGCAGGGGTGGGAGGGAAGTGTTTGAATCCCTCCCTGCTGGCTCAGAAGCTTTGCTGTGGGAATGATTTTCCATCAGCCCTGACCATCCCTGTTTCCGTCCTGCAGACGCTGTGCCCTGGTGGCTCTGGAAGATGTGAAGTCTTATCTCTTGGAAGAGTGTGGGCAAATAGCTGTAAGATCCTCTGCACTAAAAATAGTTTTACATCAGGGCAGTTCAAAGCTGCTTGGAGTGTTCAAGGACCTGATTTGGGGCTGGGGTTTAAAAGTCTTAAGATAAGTTTGCTCCTTCCTCATTTTCTGCCAGGTCTTTGATGCGACCAACACGACTCGGGAGCGTCGGGACCTGATCTTAAATTTTGCTAAGGAAAATGCTTTCAAGGTAATGCTTTAATTGTGTGTTAATTAGCAGTGGCTGCTCCGAGGGTCATTGTGGCTCCCTGGTACAGGAGCTGTCGAGTTTTGACTCTGAAATGTGCTTCCCTGCCTTCTGCCCAGGTGTTTTTCGTGGAGTCGGTGTGTGATGATCCAGAGGTGATCGCTGCCAATATCCTGGTGCGTGCTGCCTTTCCCAGGCTGGGCTGCCGTGTGCACTTGGGCTCTTGGTGCAAGGTCAAGGGCTCGGGGAGCTCGTGGGGATCTCTGCAGGCGCCTCCCTCTCACGTTTCACCTGCGGAATAAGCAGCTGGGATTTGCAGGTTTATTAAAAGCCAGAGATGCCGTTATGTGAGAATGTGGAAATCGAATGGAGCCTGGGAATGGGTGACCTTGAATCGCTGTCCTGGAGAGGGAGGGAGGGCAGAGCTTGGAGCCAGCGCTGTTTGTCAGGGCCAAGCACTTCAGTGCCTTAAGAGTCGCCCTTTGTTTCCTCTCCAGGAGCAGATTTTTCCTCCTTAAACAATGTGGATTAGTTTCAAAAGCGGGGAATAATGTTATTCATCGGGGAATAATGTTATTCATCCTTGCTTTTGTTCCCTCTGAGCTTGCTTAACTCACGCTGTCTGTTGGGCAGGAGGTGAAAGTTTCCAGCCCCGACTACCCAGAGAGGCACCGGGAGAACGTGATGGACGATTTCCTGAAGAGGATCGAGTGCTACAAGGTCACCTACCAGCCTCTGGATCCGGATGCTAATGATAAGTAAGCCAGTCCCTGAGGTTCACCTTGTCCTTGGCACATGAGCTGCTTTGCTGTCTGGGGCTCCAACACCTCTGCCCTCCCCAGGTGTGACTGTGTGCAGGTGAATCACAGCTCCCAAGTGAGATTTGAAGGGATTTTTCTCTGTGTGCTGCAGAATCACAGGATGGAAGGGATCTCAAAGCCCATCTCTAAGAGCCATGGCCAGGGACACCTTCCACTGTCCCAGGCTGTTCCAAGCCTGGCCTTGGTCACTTCCAGGGATCCAGGGGCAGCCACTCTGTGCCAGAGCCTGCCCACCCTCCCAGGGCAGGGTTTTGAAGCAGTTCAGAGCCTGTCTTGCCTTTCCTAGAGAAGGAGTAGCTGGGTGACACCTTCAGGTGCTCGTGCCTCGTTTTAAAATCAGCCATGTGGGCATTCTTATTTTATGTCAACTCCAGAGATCTTTCCTTCATTAAAGTGATCAATGTGGGCCAGCGCTTCCTGGTGAACAGAGTCCAGGATTACATCCAGAGTAAAATCGTTTATTACCTGATGAACATCCACGTGCAGCCCCGCACCATCTACCTGTGCCGGCACGGGGAGAGCGAGTACAACCTGGTGGGCAGGATCGGGGGCGACTCTGGCCTGTCAGCCCGAGGGAAGCAGGTACGTGCCCAGGAGCCCCGGGGCTCTCTGTGTGTGTGTGTGTGTGCCCAGGAGCCCCGGGGCTCTCTGTGTGTGTGTGTTAGTAAGTTCTCTTCACAGGTTAGTTAGATAAAATGATCCTTTTCCAGCTAGAGAATCAAGGATGACCATTACCCCAAAAGCAGAAACAACAGCAAAGTGAAGGGAGCAGAGCAGGAGGATGGGACTTTGTGACCTGCAGCTGTAATTGGACAATTAACCCTAATATGCCAATGAACCAAACTTATTAAAGTGTGAAAACCTGGGACCCATTGTCTATTTTGGGTGTAGCCCCTGGGGGGCTTTATCTGCCTGAAATGCACCTGAAGACCCTTCAATAAATAGAAATAAACTGCTTTTTATTCCCTTCATTTTATCAGGCCTCTGTTTTTAGGGAGCCCAGAAAGGCATCACCCCCCCTAACCTCCCTGGAGCTTTTGTCCCCAGTTCTCCCAGGCACTGAAGAAATTCATTGAGGAGCAGGAGATCGTGGACCTGAAGGTGTGGACGAGCCAGCTGAAGAGAACAATCCAGACAGCAGAGTCCCTGGGGGTGCTGTACGAGCAGTGGAAGATCCTCAACGAGATCGATGCTGTGAGTGACAGGCTGCTGAAAAACCTCAGCTTTTCTAGCTGGAAAATAATGTTTAAAGCCAAGTTAATCACCATAAACCCAGCTGTTTTCTGTTGATTTATTTTGTATCATGGACCTCAGCCATCCAGGATGAGGTTTGGGGTGGTTTGGTACAAGGCTGAGAGTGTTCAGAGCTGCCAGGTCCAGCTGGTGTGGAGGAGGAAAATAACACTGAACATCCCAGACATCTGTCACACCCTCCTGGCTGGGCAAAGGTTGCTGCTCCCACTCTGATTCTCTCAGGAAATTGCAGGGTGGTTGCTGGGGAAGCGAGGGCTCATTTTTCATCCCTGGTGTTTGCCATCCTTTTTGGTTTTGAGATAAAACCAAAGCCCAGCCTCTTCAAACCACCCTGGAACCCACACTGAGGGCAAGGCTGGGTCAGATGCAACACCTAAAATTTCCATGCCATAAAGGGATCCCTGATCTCAGCCTGTGCTTTTCCTTCCCTCCCTGTTGTGTCTGATGAAGTGAGGTTTGTGGTGACCAGTTTTCCCTTCCCTCAGGGGGTCTGTGAAGAAATGACCTATGCAGAAATTGAAGCCAAGTATCCGGAGGAGTTTGCCATGAGGGATCGGGAGAAATATCTTTATCGTTATCCTGGAGGGGAGGTGAGGACCCTTAAAGAAACAACAACAATACCCAGAGCAGTGAAACACTGCTGTGTGGATTGCAGATAAAACTGAATCCATTTTAAGTTATTCTGCCAATATTTGCATGCAAACTGAAAACATTGGGATCCTCGATTCTCTTTTGGGGGAAGTGTTTTTGTGATTTCCCTCAGTGGGGTGTGCAGGTGATGCTTTTCAATCCATTAATTTGGCCACTTTCTGGATGCTGCCCTCAGAGGGGATTCTGCATCCCAAGGCCTGAATTGTCACTGAGAAACCATCTGGGAAACAAAATTATCATGGGTGTGGCCTGGGCTCATTTCTGGGTTTACTTCACTGTTTGAATGAATCATTTACTATTTTATTTGGTTTCTTTCCTGACTGCACTCATTGAGTACCAGTAATCCGAGCCCTCCCACGGTCTGAGAGTCCTGACCCTGAATTTCACTTTCTGCTCTTGGCTTTTTTTGGGTTTTTTTTTGTTTTTTTTTAAACTATTTTTACCACATCACCCTTAACCCCCCCCCTCCATTTTGCTGCTTTAACTGATATTTCCCTGAACGTGACGTTGTTAATTACCACCTCTGCTTTAACCCTGTGTTTACACAACCCCTTGACCAATTCCTGTTTGGTTTTCCAGTCCTACCAGGACTTGGTGCAGCGCCTGGAGCCAGTAATTATGGAGCTGGAAAGGCAAGGCAACGTCCTGGTCATCTCCCACCAGGCAGTTATGAGGTGTCTCCTGGCTTATTTTCTTGACAAGAGTGCAGGTACAAAAATAAAGGGATGATGCTGGGGCTGGCTCCTGTCCCTGCTTCCCCTCACAGGGTTTTGGGAGGGTGGTTTATAATGACTGGGTGGAGTTTTTGGTTTGTTTTTTTTTTTTATTTTTTTTTAAACGAGGGAAGAGGTGTTTAAAAAAGGAGGAAAAGTTTCAGCAGTGCAAGGAGCTCCCTGGGGATGTTTTTCTGCCCAGATGTTGTTTCTGGAGCTGTTTTCAGCAGCAGTGCTTACAGAATGTGTAGAAGACTGGTTTTTAATGTAAAGAAAAAGTTTTCTGATGAATTAAAGAGCCTCAGTGGCCTGGAAGGGTTGGCAGGAGTGCTCCATCCCAGGGAAATGCTGATTTCTTGCACAGCACACACACCTGGAAGGTTCCAACCTGCTGCAAGCTCCAGTGAGTGGCACTAGAGCTTCATAAAACTTTTAATGATGTTAATAAACTTCTAACAAACTTCATAAACTTTTAAATACAGCTCTGAATGAATCTGCTGTGGCCCATGGCAGCTGTTGCTGAGGTGCTTTCCCACCATGTGCCACTGCAGAGGTTTCCTCTGGCTGGTCCTGTGCATTGGAAATGGAATTATGGAATTGTTTGGGTGGGAAAAGCCCTTTGTGAGAGCTGAGTCCAGCCCTTAACCCAGCCCTGCCAAGTGCTGGAGTCCCTGAGCCACACTGGGCTCCTCTCTCCTTTCCAGCTCCTGTATTTTGTTTTTTCTGTGTCTCACTGCTGTCCCGAGTCCATGTCTGGGTGCCATCCTGGCTCCTCTTCCCAGGATAATTTCCATTCAGTCCTCGAATGGTTTGGGTTGAAGGGACCCTTGAAAGGGTTTGGGACAAGCCCTGTGTGATGGGCAGGGACATCCCTGCTGCTGTGGGGCTGGGGAGGGGCCAGGGGGGCTGTGCCATCCCAGGTGACCCCATAACACCTTTCTCTGCCCTAGATGAGCTGCCCTACCTGCGCTGCCCCCTCCACACCATTCTCAAGCTCACACCTGTTGCCTATGGTAAACAACTGCTTTATTTTCATTTCGAATTTTCATTCCTGTGCTGGATGTTATGGGCAGGTCTGTGTCCACGTGTGGCAGCACCTGGCCATGCTCTGGAAGCTTCTGGTAATACACAAACAGGTTATTTCCTGGTTAACTAACACAGAAAAGGGTTCTGGAGGGTTGGGGGTGTTGGGAGCAGATGTGGAGGTGCAGGGTCTTCTCCCCTGGCCTCTCTTGTGAACAGTTGGATTTTCCCTGTGGGTGAGGGAGGCTGTGCCTCCCAACTTGGGGTGCAGTCAGTTAAAATTGGCTTTTCTGTGCAGCCCAAATCACACAGGGCTGTGCTCTCACACTTCCCACCACCAAGTGAAGTAAAATTCTGTTGGTGGCGTGAACTGTGTTATTTTTTTATAAATAAGAGATTTATTCCTGTTCACTTTCCCTGCTGTTTTTTTAAATAAATAACTCGTATAAACTTTTCTTTCTCTTGGGTGAAGGCTGCAAAGTGGAGACAATCACCCTGAATGTGGAAGCAGTGAACACCCACCGGGACAAACCCTCCCTGAACTCGGTGAGTTTTGCTGCTCCCCTCTGGCTCCACCTTCTCCAAAATAAATCACAAACCCTCTTAAACACTTGCTGGAACTGCCTGGGGGCTTTCAGAAGGATTTTCCTCAGAAATAACCCCCAAAAGCAGAAATAATTGTAGGGTGCATTAGTGCTTCCCAGGCCAGGGGGGTTATTTTTCAGAGCTGTTGTAAGGAGCAGAATTTAAGGCACAGATTTTAAACTCCAGGTCCCATTCTCAGATTTCAATGCAGTGTTTGTTGCTGATGCTTGTGGATAATTTCAGAAAGACTTGGCAAAAAGGTTAAGGTGGATTTTTCTCCTTGTCTTGATGAGTTTTCTCTTTCTGAAATCCTCTCTCTACCATTATTTAAATTACTGTTGATCATCCACCTTGTAACCACATCCTAAATCTGGGGGAGTTGCTGATCTTTATTTCCTTGATTTTGCAAACCCTGTTTTCCAAAGGGACTGTCAGGGAAAACCTCAGTGATTGCTTCTAATTAATTCCCCCAGTTAGGGAGCACAAACCAGCTCTGCTCTGCTGGCTCACAGGAAGTCTGAATGCATCTGATTTTAGGTGGTTTTGGTACATTTTGGCTTTTTGATGTATTTTATGAAGAGCTCTTGGGCTGGGGTCTGGTTATTCTTTTGTTCCAAGGGACTGGGCAAACTGGGAACCTGCAGCTGAGGCTGGAGGGTTTGTGGAGCTGCCAGATGCCAAACTGAGGATATTGGGCATGACTGGTGTGGGTCCTCGTGGTTTCCAGCATGTCCCTGCTCGCAGCAAGGGCTGGGATTAGGTGATGTTTAAAGGTTCTTCCAACCCAGACCACTCTGGGATTTATCACTTTTCCAACTTCTCTTGTGATCCCTGCATGGAAATCACTTGGAGGCTGTTTCTGTTCTTTGCTTTGCTTGGGTAACACAGCTGCTATGGGGCACAAGAAACAGGAGGAAGGGAGAATTTTCTATTGGCTTTTTTCTTTTTCCCCCTAAATTGATTGTGCGGAGAGGGGGAAAAAAAATAAAAATTAAAAACCCCAAACCCAAACATAGCCACTTAAGCAAAACAAAAAGTCCCAAAGGGAAGTAAAACTGCTGAAGAATCACTTTCCAGTCGTGTCCAAGATGGATTCAGTTGTTTCCCAAGCTGGGGAAGCACAGCCCAGTGCGGGGTCCCGGGGACATTCCGGGTGGAGGGGGGTGGTGCTGCAGGTGTGTGACGTGCCTTTAAACTCTGGTTCCCCCTTTTCATTCCTGGTGATTCCCCGTGTCTGTGCTGGGATCAGCTCGACCTGCCCAGCAGGCAGAGCCCTGTGAGGATGAGGAGGAACAGCTTTACCCCTCGGGCCAGCGCCGACACCGTAGAGCGCCCGCGGCACCACAGCCTGGGCAGCAAACCCCTGCAGCTGCTGGGGCCTCTGCCAGCCCTGGCAGCTCGAGAAGGGGCTGAGCAGCCACAACTGGAAGTCTCTGTCCAGGTGTGGTACCTTCCTTCTGCTCCCCCTCCCACCATCACCCCTGCTCCTCTCTGAAATCCACGCCAGCACCTTGAGCGGGGTCTGTGTTCCTGCATGGAAATCGTCCAGCCTGGATTGGATTAAAGAAAAAAAAAAAATAGGGGAAAAAACCTCTCAAAACCAACCCCAAAACATAAAAATCTTCCCCATCCAGCTGGAGTTCTGGTGCCAGTGTTTCAGAATCAGGCTCCACTCAGGCAGGTTTCCATCAGTGCCACGAGTTTTTGGCATGAGGATCTTGAGCAGAGTCTCTATTCCAGCCTGGATTGGATTAAGGAAACCAACCAGGAAAACCCCTCAAAACCAACCCCAAAACATAAAAATTTTCCTCATCCAGCTGGAGTTCTGGTGCCAGTGTTTCAGAATCAGGCTCCACTCAGGCAGGTTTCCATCAGTGCCACGGGTTTTTGGCAGGGGGGTTAATTGTGGGTAGGGTTTTGCTTCTGAGCTAAAACTCGATTGCAAAAGTTCCAAATACCCTCCTTGTCCCTGTTTTTTACTGCAGCCAAGTGATGGCCCTGCCTTCTCTCACCTCCTGCTGTGACACAAACCTGCCCTGGGTTAAAACGAAATTTTGGGGCTGCTTCACTCCTCCCCTCATTTGCTTTGCTGCTTTTCCTGTTTCATTCTCCTTTAAGATGCACCATGAGCCCTGCTGTGCTTCTCTGTTTCCTTTGCAGCCTCCAGAGGGAAATGCTTGCCTCTGAGTGCCACTGCAAGCAGCTTGGGTGTGCTCTCTTTGGGGTTAGTAAGTCGGATTTCTCTTGATTCGTGTTGCATGGAAACCACTCTGGGCACAGGCAAAAACCCCGTGGAGCAGAAGGAATCTTGTGCTGGATAAAACCTGAGATTTTGGGGGACCTCAGTGGGGGCTGAGCCTGCTGATCCAGGGGCTGCAGCTGGGCTTACTGGTGCTTGTGCTTGTGCTGGCAGCTGCAGGTTGTGTTTGAAGCCCAGCTTGCTCCATGCCTGGGTCAGGACAGGCTGTGGTGATGTTTTTGCTCTCAGGGATTTTGCAGGAGTCACTGGATCATGGATATATCATTGACTTCCACTGTCTGAGTTTGTTCCTGGTGTCTGGTGGGCCCTGAGTGAGGCAGAGGAAGGAGTTTTATCAAAGCTTTAAGTGTTTATTGTGGTTAATGTGCAAGGTGGTCAGTGTGGTGGTTCTGGAAGTGTGATTTTTTTTTTTTTTTTTTTTTTTTCCCCCCATGGAGAAGGTAAATAAAAGTGAGCAGCCCTGAGTAACCAACCTGCCTCGTTACTCCTGAGCTGCTCCACCACTCTGAGCTTGTGTGGGAAAAGCCTCCAGGAGGGTTGGCAGGAGGCTGAAGGGGGATGTAAAGAGCCAAGCAGGTCTTGGAGTGTGGATGGAAGGGATGAAGTCAATCCTCAGGTGGTTCCTGCCGTGGGCAGCAGTTCCATGGAGCTGGATTCAGCTCTCTGTGTGCTGAGCTGTCTCCTGCTTTCCCCTCTCCTGTTTTCCATGCTCTGACCTCTGCTGTTGCTCTTTTCCCTGCAGAGAATGGCCACTTTAGCAGTGTAGGGGGGTCCTGCTTCCCCCTTGGATCCAGCTGGGAATTCCAGGGCCAGGAGGAGCCAGGACTGGAGCATCCCTGGAGCACCGTGAGCCACGAGCCACCCTGGCCAGTACTTGCCTCAAACTGTGATTTTTAGAGCCTGTCTGTGTCTCTTCTTTCCAAATGCTGGAATGTCTGTCCACGGGGCTGGGGAAGATTTCATCGTGGAGGTTTTTCCAAGCTGCTTTTAGCACTTGTAAGCCAACGCATCCCCGGGTGTTGAATTCATGTCCCACGTCTTTCCTCCTGGCCAGGTGCCAAAATTAACCACAGTGGGAGGACAAAATAATCATGGTTTTCCTCACTGAGGCAGCTTTTCTTTGGAGGAGGCATTTCCAGGCCAAATCCCCGAGCTTTTATTTCTCCATTACCATTCCCAAGTTATTCCCACGTTATTTCCAAGTTCAAACTTGATTTTTTATTTTTTTTTTTTTCATATTGTTCAGCCATCCAGGGAGCTCCAGGTAGGGCTTTGATTTTTTTTTTTTCCCCTCCATGAGTGTGAATCCCCCAATCTGAGCCAGTTCCTTTGCCCTGGGAAGTTTTGCTTGGATGTGGCACCCAGCTCAGCACATCAATCCCTTGGGCTGCCTCCTGTGAGGGGCAGATGGGAATAAACCCTGCTGCCCCTCTCTGGGAGCAGCACAGCTCCCAGGCCTTCAAATCCCACCTCAATCCCTATTTTAGCTTCTCATCCCAACCTAAACTTCATCCTCTCACTCGTTTTTTTTCCTGCATTTTGGGCATGTTTTATCCATTTACCCCAGAAAATGGGAGCATGGCTGGGACCAGCAGGGCTCCTGGGCAGGGTTTGCAGGAAGCACAATGTTTTATCAGTTTTCTTTATAATACACCAAATTTTAGGCCCACAATCAGCTTTTAACTTGCCTATGAATATGCTGTGACTGTTCCCAATGCTGCCTTTCATAGTTTTAAGCTGTTGTAGATTTTAGAGCACAGGAGGTGCAGCTTTGTGTGGCCGTGTCTTTAAATCCTTAAATCCCCACCAAACCCCGAATTTTCAGTTCTCTCCCACAAGCTTTGGCTTGTGTTTTGCCAAACTCCATTTCACCCCACTGCAGCTGTTCTTGCAATAAGGGCAGGACCCTCAGGTTGGGTGAAGAAAGGAACATTTGGGTACAGAGCAGGAGGCTGTTCTGGACCTGCTGTTCCCAGGTGACTCCAGGGTTTTTTTTCTGAGCAGTTCTGGACCCCAGAAGTTGCTTATTTTAAATGTGTAAATAAATGTTGGATATACCCACAGCAGGGAAACTGTGCCCTGGCTGTGGAGGAGCTCAGCAACCCCAGAGCTTGAGGCTCACCTGGGCATTTTGAGCTCAAACTTGGTTGTTTTAAACACTCCCAGAGCTGTAATTTGATAAAACTGAGGTAGAGAGGACCAAGGCACTAATTTGGATCCCTCAGGATTTCTGAGAAGCAGAAAAACGCGTTGATCTAAAGAAATTGTGCCACAGAGGGGTGAACAATTCGGTGATGAGAAATTGAGTTTTTATTAGTTTTTCTCCTCAGGGTTTTCCTCCCAGGCGTGGTCTTGGTTTTTAAATGTTTTTGTGTTTAGAAATAAACCAGAAAAAAAAAAAGATTAACAATTGAAGGAAGAGATTTAGAGCCCGTCCATGGCACACTCACTGTCACACTCCAAAGTGCTCTGAATGCACAAACCCGTCCTTGTCAGGCTGCCTGCTCTGACCAAACCCCTCCTGCTCTGTGGAAAAAGGAGTGGAAAATGTACTGTAGGAGATGTTTACGCACAAAAATGCTGGGATAACTTTCTGAAGAGTGCATTATATTCATATCACTGAGCAGTAAATGATTGTAAGGAGACAAAAAAAAAAAAATCTATATTTTTACCTGCTGGGATTTGTGAATGTCGCTGTTGATGTGTTGGTGGTTGTGACTTTTTTTTTTTTTTTTTTTAATCACTGCTGGAAATCAAGTGTTTTGCAGTTTGGATCGGTGGGTTGGGGTCCCTTTTGTGGCTGTGGGGTGGAATTTCATCCTTCTCTGCAGCATTTGTGCCTCGCTGCTTCAATTAAAGCTTTTTTTCCTCCTGCCTTTTTGCCTTGAGAAGGTTTAAAGCAAACGCGTGTGGAGCAGAGATTTGGGAGCAGATCATTGCCCTGAGGGTCCTGCTGAGCTGTCAGTGGGATCAGTGTTGTGGCTGGGCAGGTGGAGGTGTGCAGGGGGATTTTGGAGGGGGATTTTGGAGGTTTGGAGGTGGATTTGGAGCCTGGCACCTTCCTGAGCGTTTCCCCAGGAGTGGGAGGTTTCTGTGCCCCCCTGGTTTTCTGTGCCTGTGTTTCAGGCAGGTGCTGCTGGCTGCTGTCACCTTCAGTGGCACCTGCCTGTCCCTGTGTGTCACTGCAGACATCAAGGAGCACTTGGGCTAAAACTGCTCCATCTCTGGGAAAAAGTGAAAAATGGAGGGGGAAAGAGTTAAACCCGGCCTGGCTGGTCTGTGTACAATCACTGTGACCTCAGGGCTGTCACCTCTGCCTGGGTGGGTGACAGGGGAGAGCCTGGCCTGGCTGCCAAGGGGCCAGGGAGCAGCTCAGGGAGGAGAGGCACCAGCCTGGCCAGGGCCACCTGAGGATCCTGAGGGTGTCCCCAAGCCTCACCCCTGTCTCTCTTAGGGGCTCTGGGTGAGCAGTGCCACCCCTGCTGTCCCCCCTGTCCCCCTGCTCCTGGGCTCTGTTTGCAGCTGCAGCTCTGCCTGGGGTGTTTGGTGAGAGGGATTTTACCCAGCTGCTTGTGAACTTCCCTGCTCTGCTGCCTTCTAAGTGTTTTGGGGTTTTTTTTTTTTTTTAGGTTTAAAATGCTGCAGTGTCTGTCAGCTCGTGCTGTGTGTTGTGTGCTCTGTGCACTTGAGCATAAATATCTGTCAGTGTTTATTTACAATAAAGAGACTTAAAAAAACCCCCACAGATCATTTCCTCTGTTCTTTTCCATTGTTTGCTCTGGCTCTCTGCTGTGTGTTGGTTTTCTGAGGAGGTCGGGAACTCGGGGAGCCTCTGGGCTGTGTTTGGAGGAGGAGGGGCTGCAGGGCTGGGCAGGTGTCCTCTGCTTTGGGAATTTGAGTTGAAACTGGAGGTTCTTCAAACCCTGCTGCTGTTCCCCTTCTCTCCTCTGTGACTGGAGTTCAGAATCTCAGGGTTTCCATGGAACTGAGCTTTAAGGTCCTTTCCAACCCAACCATTCTGGAATTCTCTGTGTGTTCAGCTCCCAGTGATGCTCCTGAAACCCCTCTTGGAATGCTGGCCATGGCTTTCTGGGGTCAGAGGGGATGAGCCCAGGGTGGCCATGCCCTGGGTGAAGCAGCTCTCCTGAGGACACCCCTCAGTGTGCCCGAGCTCCCAGTGGAGCAGCTCAGCAAGAATTGTTCTGAAGACTTGGCACCTCCACACATGAAAACCAATTTCAACATCTGCTTGGGTCGCATTCAATTTTGTAGTGTTTGCTCTGGGGGTGGAATGAACTCTTTCCTTCTTGTTCAGGAGGGGTTTATATGGGTCAAGGCCAGCTCTGGTTTCTGCAGAATTGAAGCTGCTCTCCGTGGGGCCAGATCTGAGCATGTGGGGGTTCTAAAACTCCTCCTTTGCCTGGGGCTGGAGCCTGGGGGGCTGCAGGAGAGCAGTCCCTGCTTCATCCTGCAAGTGCTCAACACCAGGGCTCTCCATCTGCTGCCTCCACGGCTCCAGGTAAGACAAACCCCCGAGTGCTGCTCCTGGGAACGGGATTGGAGCTTCTGTGCAGGTCAGGAAATGAAATCAGATTAAACCAGGAGTTGTGGCAAGGACTGAAAGAATGGCAGAGGAGGGAAACAGGCAAGGGACGGGTTGGGTTTAGAGCAGGGAGGGGGGATCCTGATTTCCAAGGGGGAAGCAGGCACTGGGAGGTTATGGAACTTCGGGAGGGTTCAGGCTCATGAATAACCTTGGATAACACAGAGAGGGCTCTTAAGCTCCCTGGGGGTGCCAGGTGAGTGCAAATTGCACTTAAATTCCATTTTGTAACGCAGTTTGATTTGACTGACTTGCTTGACTCTGCTAATATTTGCACAGAACTGGTGGAACTTTTTGCTTAGATACTTCTCTCTCTCCCTGAGGGCAATTCATTGGTAGGGGACTGCACTGGTGGCTCCAGCAGTATTTCTTCTGACTAGGAATTTACTTCCAAGAGATTTATTACTACAAATAAAGTATTTTACCCGTAAGTTTCCAGAAAAAATTAATTCACCTCTTGCTCCTCTCTTGTGGCTGTAGGAACTGCTCAGAGGTGGAGCCATCAGGCCTGTGCATATACCTGAGTAAAAATACCCCTAAAACACCCCCCCTGCTGTCTTCACAGGTACTGGCTCAGGAGGGGAAGGTGGTAACACCTGTGGGATTTCCAGGCAGGAATAAACATGTCAGCCTTGGAGCTGGGGAGGCCAAGGAATGGTGCAGCTGTCCTTGGGTTACTCCTCACTGCTGCTCTCCTTGGGACTGTCCATGGTAAGTGAACCAGTCCATCAGGATGAACAAAGATCCCCTGAAGGAAAATCTGGGTTTTACAAGACTTGGATCCTTCTGTTTTCCTCATTGCCTTTGCCTTTCAAGGGAGGTGTCCCTGCCCTTGGCTTGGGGGACAAGATGATCTTTAGGGTCCCTCCCACCCCAAACCATTCTGGGATTCTGTGGCTTTTGTTTTTGTTTGCTGATGCTGTCAGTTCCTTCTGTTGGAGCAATGTCCCAGGTGAGCCCTGGGATGGTGGCAATGAGTCCTGAAGGAAAGCACCAGGTTTGTTCCTCTGGGATGGCAGGAGCTGAAATCAGCTCTGGTGCTGGCTGTGCTTCAGTGCTGACTCCAAGGATGTCCTTCTGCTCAGGCCTTTTGAACTCCTGTGTCCAGAAAAGCATTTGAGCTGCAGAGGGAAAATCCTTTAGCTGGGAAGAGACGCTGCCACAGGTCACTGCAAACCCCAGAGACAGCAGCTCACGGGGCAGGTGTGGCCAGCATCGTGAATCCCAGAATAACCTCGGGTTGGAGGGGACAGGGGAATGCTCCAAAGCTTGGTCTTTGCTGACTCTGGAATTCCTTGGATTTATTCCCCAGCTGCAGAGTTTGCTTTGCTCTATTTGCCAGCTCTGCTTTCCTGTCCCTTGAACCTCTGGAAAACATCCACTGTGGTCTTGAGGGTGCACCACAAGCATTCCATCCCCCAGGAAAGCCCAGGGATGCTTTTGGGGCAAATTTAATGCCATGATGTGTCTGTGTCTTACAAGACATCCATCCTTGTCTTAACAACAAATCTCCTGACACCCACTTGGCTTTGCCATGGTTTCACCCTTGCTGATGTTTGGCATTTCCCAGGAATTCCTTGCCCACATCCACACATCTCAAATGGAAGGTCCTTGTTCCCATGGGAAGATGAAGAGTTTTATGAGGATGGAGACATTCTGAAAGTAATGTGCAATAAAGGATTTGCATTCAAAGGCTCTGGCAGCAGCATCACCCTCCACTGTGGCAGCGATGGTGAATGGAATCCAGCAGTGCCAGAGTGCATTCCAGGTGGGACAGAGTGGAGGCATGGTCATGATAGAAGCCATGGAGAATTTTCCTGCACTCCAGGTGGCCCCAGCTCAACTTCTCCTGGGTTAATATGGAATATACAGGCAGCAAAAGATTCAGATGGGCCCCGTGGAAAAAGGGCAGGATTTTGGCAGGGTTGAGCTGGTGCCTGGAGGGATGCAAGGGTGGTGTGTTGGAAGCTTCTAGAGGCTTGGGAGGTTCCTGAGAAGCCTTGGGAGACATTTACCCAGCTGGGAGGGGATGTGGTTTGTGCTTGGGCTGCTTTGCTGACACCAGGCTGGGGAGCAGAGGATGTTCCCAAGGCATTTCCCCTGTCAGGAGAAAAAGTGTAAATAACTGACACTGCTCCAACTCCTGACCCAGCACACAGAAATATCCACAAAAGCTCAGGAAAACCTTGCCAGGAGGGAAAAACCTGCTCCAGCTCCCAGGGCAGCCAGCACTAGAGCTGGGGACAATTCCCAGTGGTTCCTTTAGGGTTACAGAGCAGCCTGAGCTCTGCACCTGGGGGATGGTCACTCCTCTGCCCAGGGCTCAGATTTGGTGGTAGCTCTCCTCCATAGAAAGTTCTTTTTTGGAAATCCACAACATCCTTTATTTTCCATTATTTCTAGAACCACGTTGCCCAAAGCCAGACATCCCTCATGGGAAAAAGGTTCATGAGAGTGAGAGTGAGTACACAGTGGGGACCGTGGTGAGGATGGAGTGTGAGGAAGGCTTTGCCCTCCTGGGCTCGAAGTTCATCACCTGTGAGGATGATCTGAGCTGGAATCCCACGCTGCCCTTTTGTGACAAAGGTGAGTGTGACACACACAGAACAAGAGATCTCCTGCACCAGTGGGAGATCTGCCTGCAGCACCTGGGGACACGGGCTGAGCCAGGTGTCCCCTCCCCAGAGCTGCAATTAGAATCATTAAGGTTGGAAAATACCTCCAACACCATCAGGTGCAGGCTTGGACTGAATCCCACCCCCAGTGCTGTATGCATGAGTTTCCTGAACACTTCTAGGAGTGGGAAACATCCTGATATTTCTGGAGCCCTGAGCTGCTGTTAGAGGCCAGAATCCAGGCAGCAGCTCCTTGTGAATTTGTCTCACACCAACCATGAAGTGAACTTTGTGCTGATTTCACAGAAATGCTTTTGATTCTCAGTTGAAGATGACAACTGCACGTGTCTATGTCCATTCCCTTTATTCCACAGCCTGTGGGCCCCCTCCAAAAATCCCCTTCGGGTGGCATTCGGGGAGCCGTGGTGAAGGGTTCACCTATGGCACCCAGGTGATGTACAGCTGTGCAGAGGGGCTGTCCCTCATTGGGAACGAGTCCCTGTACTGCACCTCCGAGGATGGGGACAACCTGACATGGAGTGGACCTGCCC